AGCCGTGATGTAATAAAAGCATGGACCACCCTTTCTAGATCGTTCCTGCACAGGTAGGACTTGACTTTAGCTAAAATCCGTAGATGATAAAAAGATCCTTTGACTATGGAGCTGATTTGTTTATCAAATTTAAAAGCACTGTCAAAAGTAACACTGAGGCTCTTAATGGAGGAAGTACATTTGGAAGTTAGAATCAAATGATCAGCTCATTACCAGGCCTCCTGAGAACTGCAAGACATGTTAAGAAGGTAATTTAGCCATTTAAATCAGCTGTGTTGGACACATTTAAAACCTACAGGACACCGGCCCTTGAGGCCTGGAGCTCCCCCACCCCTGCTGTAAAGCTACAACTGATCCACTGCAATGTGAGTTAGTGCAGACAAAATAAACAGGAATATGAGGTGACTAGCATTTAATAAGCAAGCATATAATGTATGTAATGTGTAGCATTAGCTGACCTGTTCGATGCTAACAGCTTTGGTGATGATGTCTCTGACTCTGTCCTCTGATGGCTTTTTCACCAGGTAGCTGTACAGCAGGCAGGCAAAGTTACAATGCAGACCCTAGCAAAGAACAAAAAAACATGTCAGAACAGCTGATCCAAAAAATGTGTATTTTTGGTGTACTTAGTCCCAGGTTTATTTTAGGAGACTTGTGTTTACACAAAAGCATTTATTACATCAGCTTGATCTCAAGGAAGAACAATGATGGTCGTGGTTGATACAGCACCCCCTGGTGAATTGTAAGAGAACTGCATGTCCAACAACTACTATTTTGTAATTGTTAATTAATAGGGTGATGATTAGTTTCAACACAGTGAATGCTGAGTGAAAGAAAACTGGGTGTCAGCAAGATGTAAAAGCAGTTTTTTCAGAGTCTGCCACCATACAGTCAGCAAAAACTTGTTATATTAACTAGTTAGTTGATATGAGGCTCTTGATTTTTTTTTTTATATATTTTTTTTATCAATAAGATATTTTGAAAATCTGACTCTCAAAACAGCCAGTGCAGAGCTGCTGTTGTACAGTGTTTGCTATAACTGGGAAATATCTGTCTGAGGGCATTTTCCAAAGAGCGAGGTGAATGTGCAGTCATGACTCTGCTGCCAGCTTTAACAGTATATTGGTGTTTATGATTGCTGTTTAATCTTTCATGTTTATTCTTATCATTTGACTTATTTTTAAAGACCAATGTCGTCTTTACAGCATATATGAATTATATAGCTCTTATGAATTTGGCCGCTGAGGCTGCTGCACAAAGTTAAGGAGTCATACCAGTTATAAGCATGACAATGCAGGTAAGGGCAGACATACTGTTTCTATTTCTGAAGGTGTTCCACAGCAGTTCAAACTTATGGTCATTATGTGCATCTATTCATTTAGTCACATAAGACTGACAACAGACAAATCTAGATGGAAAACACTCTGTGCCACGCTGTCATTTGGAAAGGAATAATTACATAAATGCCACACCTCCATTTTAAATATGAGCTGCTTCCTCTTACCCACAAGTATGTCTGATTCGCTCACAACTCAGGGATCCTTTCAACACATCAGAACACATATTTTTGTGCGTGAATTAGTCTCACCTCGTCCCTGCTAATGAGCTCGTTGGAGTAGCTAAGGCCAGGCATTAGCCCCCTCTTCTTCAGCCAGTAGATAGCAGCAAATGAACCAGAGAAGAAGATGCCTTCCACAGCTGCAAAAGCCACAATCCGCTCCCCTGGGGCACAAACGTCAAAAATGACTGTTAAGTGATCAAACATGAGGTTCCTTCTAGGACAGTTTGATGTTATATTTAGTTTTCAGTTGTCGTGTTTTTGTCAAGTTTTGTTTCTCCCTTACCAAATGTGGATTTGCTGTCGTTTATCCACTGGAGGGCCCAGTCTGCCTTCTGTTTCACACAAGGCATGGTCTGAATGGCATTAAACAAATAGTCCCTAAAACACACAAACATGAAAACACATGAACTAAAGACTTTTTAATGTGTAATTATACTGTAGTAACAATATGTAGGGAATAGTTTATTTTGTTTGTCTTTAATCAAAGACACTCAGGAACAGGGTAAAAAGAATGCAACAAGACTCATGGAGTTTGCTGAGTGTTTAGACTTAAAAGCATCTGTAAACAGTCTGATGAGTGACATTTGTTGTTTGGAGGCACATCAAAGCTGCTGCAGCTGGGAAAACAACGGCAGTTACCACAGAACGGTCTCGACTTAACCTGTGACGAACAGGTGCAGGAGTCTGTTCCAGAAACCAGGCTCAGTGAAAACTCTGAACACCTAAAAAGGTAACTTAAAGAGTGGATCAGTCACCAGGTAGTTGCCTTTCTCTGACCCTTTCCCTCCTGCTGGGCCTCATTCAAAGCACAAACTGGAGAGCACTCATTTGCCTACGTTTACATCTTTAGACTCTCTGAACATGCAGTGAACTATTTATCAGCTTTTAATCTGTCAGTGAGACAAGGCTGCAGTCTGAATATATTCTGGAAGCATTTCCTGTTGAACTGCTTACATGTCTTGAAATATAATAAATAAATGCTGCCAAACAAGACTTTTTAAAACAGATGTAAAACATTCTTACTAGGTGAGACTGACTTTACAATCAAAGATTAATTACAAGGCATCTTTAATGCATGTTTTCATGGTGCTACATGAATAATAGTTATAAGCAGAATGTGATAAGATTCAAGTTTTATCATCCATTATGAAAAAATAAAGCTGGGTAAATGATGATTTGCTGGACTTTGCTGAATAAAATCTGACAGGCTGTGTATTAACTTCCTCAACTTCCTCTTTTTGTTCGATAAACAACACACTCTGCGTTGAAATTTTAGGTCTGCTGCATTTAAACCCCAGGTGCTACAGTTTGTTGTAAATCTCCAGAAAGTTCACAAAAGCAACTCATACAGAAGTGGGTAAAGGATTCATACTTTCATTACAACATAAACACGACACAAAAACTATTTTCCGACTTGCTAAAATAAAAAATAAATAAAACGGAGCCACCACGAGTAACTGACCTCTCCTTCAGGTCCCTAATGTAAGTGTTGATGAGCATACTGTACATCTCTGAGTGGACAGTCTCTATGAGGATCTGAAAGCTGTAGAAGGATCGCGCTTCAGGGACCTGCACCTCCTGGCTGAACCTCTGCACCTGTTGTGTAGATTAAAAACATTTGCGATAAAGCGTGCAAGTCCCACAAAACACTTGAACCACACCAAGTAAAAAAAAAAAAAATTCAGAGTGCCATCTGCATTTATGTTAACGCATCAAGTATGGTTATCTTTTGATAGCCATTCTTGATGTGTGACTTCATTTTTGAGGGCTTCTAGTAATGTCAGTTTCATTAATTTTGCAGTTCAGCTGCCAATGCATCAAATGAGCTTGTTCTCAATCTACATGCAAAATATATATTCTTGAAATTTCTTTAGAGGCCTGCAAAATAGTCTCACCAGGTTCTCATTGACGATACCGTCGCTGGCAGCAAAGAAGGCTAAGACGTGGGAGATGAAGTGTTTTTCCTCTGCCTTCAAACGGTCCCAGTGTGCCAAGTCTTTGGATAGATCGACCTAAAAAAAACAAAAAAACCATCAAAAGCACACCTGTCTCAGTTCCTTCATTTCATGTGTGGATATCAATATGTGCACAGTGGAAAGTAGCAGCAGCAGCAACTGTCAAAACCTTTGCTTTAACTGCCATGATGGTTAGACATTGTTGCATTCAATATTTTCTTCCTAAGATCACTCAGTAAAGCACTCAAAGTACAGTACCCACCTCCTCCACGGTCCAGAAAGAGGCCTGGGCCTGTTTGTACATCTTCCAGATGTCTCGGTACTGGATGGGAAAAATGACAAACCGCCTTGGGTTCTCTCGGAGCAGAGGTTCTTCCTCCGTCTCCAAGCCATTCTGGCAGGCTGTATCATCTTCTCTGAAGCCGTTCTGCAAACAATCCTTTACATTTAGTTTGGTGTCTGTCTCGTTTTTGTTGCATTTTTGACTCCTAGTCGCTGTTTCTCTCGTTTTACGGATTGTCCCTTTACTTACAACACGGAGCACCGCGCTTGCGCGTTAACTCTTTACAAAACAAAGGACATGACATTAACGTGTCCACTTGAAAAACATAAATGAATAAAGCAAGATATTTTAGGTTGCCTTCCATATACATTTTAAACGCTTTAGTTGATTTATTTATTTTTAGTCATTTCGTTAACCTCAAACACCGTGACTGACAGCTAACACGAGCAGGAAAGCACTTTCACAGCTAAAACGTGCCGTAATCCCTATTATTTGTCACATTTAGCTAAAAATATGCTTTTCCGAAGCTACAAAGGCTTTAGCTCCTCATGTTTCAATAAAGGGTAAGGTTACTACACAGCTACAAACCTACAGTTACACAACCGACGTCCTCGATACACACAGTAACAATAAACGTTTAAGCTAGCTGTGCTCCAGGCCGATAGTAATGAGCTCCAGTACCTGAGAAGATGACCTTTTCACCGTCGGAGTCATTCTGAGGACTGGATTTGGGGTTTTTATTTAGCTAGCTTGTACTCGGTGCCATAACCCTGCGGACGTAGTTGTAGCTCTGTTGATTTGACACTTTAAATCCCCACATACGGGGGTATAGCGCCCCTAGCGGAAATACTAAGAAGTTCACCTTTAAAACAACACGTGGTACGGGTAGCACGATAAAACTTCCGAAAATGACTAATACCGTGATTTTTACCTACTCATCTCACTTGCACTATTAGACATGAAGCAACACCTATGAGTAAACAGATTTAACTAAAAAAGCTATTTGTTACAGGAAGGCAAGACAAAACTGTAGTTTAGAGTAATAAATTCTTTATTTGAATAGAAATGTTATTAATACATGCATTGTAAACACCAAATAAATGTGGAATATCTTTCTAGAAGTGGCAGCATGACACCGCAGTGTGAATTCAGAACTGGATACAAGTAAATGTGAACCTACTAATCCAAATCACTACACTGGTATGTTGTGTATCCCCAGTCGAAACACATCATTCGTGCATGCCCACGCACAGTTTTGGGATTTCAGCATAAACACTTGATGGAAGGCCATCGGTGGATCATCATCTACCTGTTGGAAATAATTAACAGCAAAATCGTGAAAAACGAAAACTGTAATGTTGGCAGGAATATAAACTTAAATCACATCAGCATAACTCATTAGGACTCTAAAAATGCTGCAGTAATGATAATAAAGCGCATTGTATTGTAATGTAGAAGCCATACATCTTGTTCAGAGTTAACATACAGAGTAAAAACAGCAGATCCACACACACTTGTAAGAAGTTCTCTATCAAACACTTAATGAACTGCAACACATCATTTATCTACATGCTCTTCAGAATGTGAAACAGTCATTTGTCCTGGGAAAGTGCAGCCTGCCACAGCCAGACTGTCTTGAAAATAAACATAAAACTTCCCTGCCACCCTGCATTTCACAGGATTTAAAAATGTAACTCTTCCAACCACAAGGGATGGCAATCTACAAAAGCTGCTTTCTCAGAGAGCAGTATTGGATCCCAACACTCAAAACAATGACACCTGCAGGTCTGAATGATGATTTTAGAATAAAATATAAATGTTATTTTTTGTTTGTTTTTTGGGGTGAACAAGGTCACATGGTATACACAATGCCACTGATATTTGTTCCTCCTCATCTTTTCTGACTGATCACAAATTGGGTAAAAAGACCCATTAGTGGGAACATTTTGTGTACATTTGAATAAATTCTGACCAAAGCTGTCGTCGGAGAAGTGATTCTACTGCAGATGCCTTGACATGGCGTAAGCTCATCAGTCCTTCAGCCAGATGAATAAAAAACATTTAAAAAATGTGAAGAATCACTAGAATACCTGTAGCTGTCCAAACACCATGATGAGGATACAGCTGTCTACTGTTGGCTGGAAGTCCTGTTCTGTGATGATGTGCTTAATGCGCTTGAAAGGCAAGTTCTGTGAATTGTGAACAATATTATTGTTTAGACTGATGTGCTGATGAAAGGAGAGGCGTAAAAATATTATTAATAAATTCACAGACACAACATAACCTGGATTAGAAGCAGCACTTATGGAGTTTCTTTGTGCATGCTGGACCAACAACCTGCTAAAACAAGATACTTACTACTAGTTTGCCAGTTATAGCTTCTCTCCCCTGAAAAGGTGATCCTTCCCACGTCAGACAGGCATCAGGAGACTGCAGAAACATTTTTTCTTTCATAACTATAGGCTCAAAATATTTTTAACATCCAGCGTGATGGAACTGAATAGACATCTGGAAATCTTACATAAAGGTTACCCAGTCCCATCCTATTGGAATTGTCAAACTGGTTGTAATATTCCTGGACAAAGCCCTCTCCAATCTTTTGCCAAATTTCTTTCTCACAGGCCATGTTTGCAGCTTTGGATCTGTAAAAGAAGACAATCTAAGTAAAATAAGTCAAGAAATGTTTATTATTTACACTTAAATAAGACTTTTCTGGTGTCTAATGTGATTTAAACAAAATATGTATGTAAAAATGAAGGGCCAGTTAAATGACTCTCTTAATGGACAGCCTTTTGAAATTGCCAACAAAGGTACTGTCTAATTTAACCCTGCATTTAATGTATTTGTATTATTACAGACAGGATCACTTCAGATGTTTGTCACTGTATTTTACAACCTCAATCGCAAAAACTTTATACATAAAAGGAACACAATAAAACGTATTTAATGTTTAAACTCAGAAAAAAAGTGCCATTGTTAAGAAAATGGTACATAAAATTGCAATTGTGAATAAAATACAGCCTTATGCGGTTTGGAAATCACTGTTTGCATTTTGTTTGTGTTCACATTTTACACAGCGTCCCAACATTTCCAGAATAGGGCTCATATTTTATTGATTTACACACAATTCCTTATGCCATTTTGTTACGTGTGTTGAGTTTAACCTAAGTTTAAGCTGCTGTAACAAAGCAACTTACCGACTTTGGAGATTTTTTTAAAAAAAAGAAAATATTATCATCTTAAATAAACTTTATTTTCAACCACTGGGAAGGACTGCAGGCAGGATGTAGATGAGTGTCAGGGGTGACTTGTGACATAAACATAGAAGCAAAAGTGAAAGGGAAGGTTTACAAGATGATCGTGAGACCTGCTGACAGAAAGACAGGAGCCTGAACGGGAGATGTTAAGATTTTCAGTGGGAGTGAGCAGGATTACAGATGAGTACATCAGAAGGACAGCTTAAATGCTTATATTTTAAATGAAAAAACAACAGGTTGCCTCTCGTGCTGAAGGATACAGATGTGACTGCACAGCTGGGGGGAAAATGAGGCCTGCTTCTTTAAGTGGTGTGGTTTCTTCGTGCTAAAGTTTCAACCAGCTGCAGCGACTATAGCAAGAGAAGCAGATTCAAGTCTATTGGGAGTTAACCAAGTTGCTGTCCAGGTATTTTCGGACTAGTTGAGATTAGTTAACGCAGTCGGGATTAAGCAGAATATAAATCGGAGCTGTCGCAATCCTGCCGTTTGTTAACCAGAAACCCAAGCTGCGGTCTCAAAGTTTTGGCTAGCCTCTGCTGCCTTTTACCGAGAACTGTTTGTTTAACTTTTGTCTCCACATTACCCTCATTAAACTCGTGTCAACAAAGGCCTGAGTAACCCGTCATCTTCATTAGACACTTGACTCAAAAAGTACTTTACCTTGTCCGCTATTTTTGCTTGCTTTTTTTCCTCTAGCAGCAGACGTTTCGGCGTGGGGAAACGAGTCAAAACGAGGCGACCGGAGTTCCCGCTTCCTCCGACTTGTGACTAGCGCGTGACGTCAGCACAAGCCGCCCAATGAGAGAGCCTCGCAGTTCCCCGTCAGGAGCTTTTCCTGCTCACAGAGTCCCACCCTCTACGCTAAAACTCAGGATCGTATACATGAAACAGAAACGAGCTTGTCTCAAATATTTTTTAATGATTATCTAAAAATCATAAACCAAATCCAACATGTAAAATGAAACATTTTTAACAACTAATTTGGCAAGTAATCAAAGAACCAGAGCTGAAGCTGTGACCATTATTGGCTAAACTTTGCAAGAAAGGGGCTGCACTGCATTAATCTGTTAGGTACTGTTGCTCCCCTCTTCATGATGAGGTCCAAAGTTCCCCTTCTTCCTATTTAGATTGCAGCTTCATCACTGGCACAAAACATAATCAGCAAGTGACAACTAATCTATAATGTGCTTTTTTTCCTAAAAGGTGCAATAAAAGACGTAGCCTCGTGTCAGAGAGAGGCAGTAAGATAAGGCTTGAAATAAAGTGAATACTTTGAAATGGAAGACGTTAAATGCTTAACAGGATAAGATCAGTATTGCTCGGCGGGTGGGGGTGTAGAAGAGACAAAGAAATACAGCTCAGTTCATAACAGCGTGCAGGTCTTTACAAACACTATCAACAGGAATGTAAGTCATAAAAACAAAGCTGGGTTATTTCTCTGTGTATTATTTGAAGATCTTATTGTACCTTCTATACAGTGCTCTACAGGCGAGTGGGACGACTTTGTCCTCCTGACTTGCCACAAATTTAACATCTTACATTTTCTTCACCATTAGTGAAAACAAAACCAAAGACCCATTCAGGCACTTCTAAAATAATTTTGCTACAGTTCAGTGTTTGTTGCTGCCAGGGAAATGATTTTCAGGAGCGCAGAATGTCTGCACCCACTTGACTTCCAGTGACTTGTTCAGAAAGGCTGCTATTGCTTTGTTGAAGCCACTGCACCAATAGATCCTCCTTGCAATAGGTGGCAGTAAAAGTCATCTGTGCAGTTTGGCCCAACAGGCCTCTGAGGTTAGAACCGAGTTATGTTTTGAACGTTCGAGCGCGTCACTGTTCCGGCTGTGACGTGAAATAATCATCTGTCCGAAACACGCTGGGGATTTCTTGACGCTGATGTGGTGCTGGTCGTCTTGGGCTGGCTGGTTTCTGAAAGCAAAGAGACAAAAGTTAAAAACCAAATAAATGAAGTGTGGTTACAACTGCTCGGCGAAACCTTAAAAAGAACACTGACTCCGCAGGCATGTTGCTGTTCTTGAACACCATCGATCTTAATCAGACATATAAATAAAAACACTGTGGATGTTTTTGTTTTTATGAAATTTGAACCTTTACTCATAATGATCTCAATGAAGTCTGGATAGTGACTACAAATGACCTGAGTGGCCTTGATCCTAATCTCTGGACACTACATACTACTACTGGCTGATTAAAATGAGGAATGGGGTAAAATCTTTGGAGTAACTGGTGGTCCTCTGTTACTAAACAAGGAGAGCGTCCACTTTCTGTCACTTAGATTCATTTACAGATCAAACTGTTGCTTTATGATGAAACATATTAATTGACAGTGATTTCAATACATGCTGCAATGCATTAACTTTTTATTTTAAATCCAAGTTGATTTCATGTTCACACACATAACACTGGACCCGACGTGCCTATGTCCACCTGAGAAGATGATGAGAATATTTACTGGAATTTCCTCTTTTTCTCCACTATCTGCTGTAGAAATGTCAGGTTTATTTTAAAGACAGTGAGTCCACAGTTTAAAAAAATAAATAAAATAAAAATTGT